TATTCAGAAAAATACCTAAGCCTCAGGGTCCCCAATAATTTGGAGTACTGAACCTAGATAACCACCCTAGACACTTCTGACAGAAGTAATGGATTACTTAAAGAGAGGTTTCCAAAACCTGCTGTTAGAACCTACGCAAACATAGAAAACACTGATAATCAGTCATTGTTCACACAGTTTTACTCTTCAGGCAGTCCTTTGCCATTGGTCAGCTTCCACTAGGCCAGAGTCTAGCAGGAAAGTGCACAGTGCACCAGATTCACCAACTCTTAAGTTGCTACTGTTTTCTCTTCTTTACTGAAAGGTTGTACTGAGCCAGGCTTTACCCATGACAAGCCAGCAACATGAACACTTTTATTGTGCTGCTCTTCAGGCTTTTTCTGAGTTAGCATCTTCTCTATGGCTTCGTCATGTACAGAAGGATTCCATGGAGAAAAGCTAATTGCATAGGGGTGCATAGGGGTCTTCTATTTTAGGTTGGTCAAACAAACGAGCAGTGCATACCTTAACACTGTCAACCACTTTACTTTGAAAAAGCTGAACATCTTTTTCATACAGTACTGCAGCTTCTGGGTTTAGGGGGCTTGCTGTATCAATCTTGTAGAAAACTCTTCTTGCATACATTAATACTTGCCAAATATGATTATGGTTCCTCCTCCATTTTGCAAATACTCTCTTCACATCCAATTTGCCTGAAGTGGGATCAACTAATGGGTGAAAGACGGGAATATCAAACACCAAGTGTGGACAGTCACCATCAGGATAGTTATCAGGGATGTAAACTGTAAACTTAAATTCGCCATCTTGATAAAGTCCATGCTGTATGAATATTATTCCAAACCACATTAATGCAGAACAGTAAGACGGTTGCACATAGACACCTGGTAACTTCTGTTTCACAACCAAGGTAAATTCTGCAAGAGAGTATTCCAAGTAGAAAGGTCCATAAGAAGCGTGTGTGCCGTTTGTTGACTGTGCTGCTAGGGCAGGAGATGTGGGTTTAGTTATGGGCAAAGCATTTTTGGGAATAGAAGGCAGCTGTTTCTTTGGCGCAGTTCGTGGAGGACTGGTTCTCACGTCCCCTGTTAATGTCTTCTCTTCGCCATCAGATCGTTTGCGTACAGAACTTGTAGACATGCTCCAGAAAGGGTTCATAACGTGTACTCCAAACAAATAAGTTAAGTGGTCAGTGTCATCAAACTCTTCCGTCCTCAGCATTCACTTTGCGAGTGGGCGGCCACCACATCTCGACCTGGTGCCTTCAACGCGGAGCTCCCAGCCGCGGAGCGTTGTTGTGGCCCAACAGCATCTCCGGTCACCAGCCCGGCCCCTGCCCACTCCCCGCCCTCCTCCTTTTTTTTTTTTTTTTTTTTCTTTTTCAGGTATAATTTCATCAACATAAGATAGTAAATACTGATTACTTTAAAGAGTTATTCATGAGTTTTAAATGTATTTGTTTGGATCTTACATAGAGAATGAATTTATGTCTCATGATTTTAGAGTTTCAGGTTATTTCTAGACTATTAATTAGATATTTGCTTTCAGTTTGTGTGTGATATGATACATATTCTAAAAGTAGTAAAACAAAAATTTGGCTGAGTAGAGAAGAAATTACTTTTTTTTTTTTTTTGGAGAGGTTTTTGCTATAGGGCGTGTGCGTGCTCCAGAAAGACAGAGACAGAAAGATAGAAAGTGAGAAATCACCTCCCCCAGGGGGGATGGCCACACCACAATCCCTTCTCCTTTATTCTCCTCTTGGGATCTTGGGCACGCACGCACATGGGCCCGGCGTGAGTTTAAGCCACCAGGTCTGGGACTCGAACAGCTGTCGTCTACAGGGGAGTTCAGTGACATAACCATTACGCTAACTGCTGGTCCCAAAAAGAAATTACTTTTATTATTCAGGAAGGCTTTGTAGAATAGGAGATATCTAAGGAGGGCTTAGTTTTCCAAAGGGAGGGATAAATTTTCAAGGCACATTACAGGGATCCCCTCCCATCCATCTAGTTTGCATATAATTAGTTTTACTTCAGATCTTTATAGTATTACATTTTGAAAATAGAGAACTTAATTTTCCTTGAGGAGAAATTTTATGTGTAGCTACTACTTCTAAGTGCTGTACAATAAACCACCTTGATTAATTTTTGCAGCACCAGCAAGAAGCAAGTTTTTAAATTATTATAGGGCTAGCAGATGGTGTAACAGTTATGTTGCTGGACTCCCACATGGTAGACTGTGGTTCGAATCCCGGGCCTGGTAGTTCGAAACTCACGCCAGGTACAGGTGCGTGTGTGCCCAAGATCCTGGGAGGAGAATGGAGAAGTGATTATGATGTGGCCATCCTTCCTGAGGGATGATTTCTTACTTTCCCTCTCACTGTGTCTGTCTGTCTCTCTGTCTCCGGCAAGCACACACACCCTAAGGCAAAAATCTCTTTTAAAAAATTAAATTATTATAATCATTTTTATTATTTTCATTTCACTAATACAGAAACAGAGTTTAAGAAGGATATATAACTTTCTTAGGGTTAGAGAGTGGCAGAGGGACAATTTAAAACCCAGGCTGTCTTGGCCTAGGCTAATGCTCTTGTCTATTATCGCCTCTTCTTTTCATTGTATCTCATTTTTATTTGTCTCTTTTGTGCCCATCAGTGTGCCTTACAGATAGTCGAGGGTCAATACTTGGTGGTTAGCAACCCCATGTATAGCTTAGTAATCTCATATACCAAACCTGTAGTGATAGTACTAATTTTTTCATCTGCGTGTGTTTTACTGTATTCCCTGCCCAAGTTTGTGGAGTCATTGGATCCCATTTCTTTTAAATGCAGTTTATTCTTACATTAATATGACAGGTGTAGCTCTCAACTCTCCCAAATCTCAGAGATAACTGTAGAAGGTATTTACTTCCTTTCATTCAGATGAGAAATGTGCTTGATTTCTTAGATTTCATGTGTTAGCTTGTAAACATTTCAGGGCATAAATAATGTTTCTGACCTACTATTAATATGTTTTACCTGCTTAACTGGGCTTTGCTGCTGTCATGAAGCCTTTTTTCTGATGGATTTTCTTGTCCTCTAGGAAAACTCATACTGTAGATAAGTATGGGTATTTTTCTCCCTTCCAATTAAGTTGTACTTTAAGGCATTTTTTATTATGTCTTGTGAAACAAGATGTTTTGACATCTCATCTTTTTCCAGGAGGCAGTAGAACAATCATTGAAACCTCTTTACCTGCCCGTTACTTTTTTTTCTTTTTTAAAAGATGTTAAGAGACCAAATATGTTCAGATTGTTCTTTTTAAAGCTAAATTTTTATGTCTGCTGGACCCAATGAAATAATACAGATATCTTCCTTTGTCTTTAGAACTCTTAAATAAACAAGTTACTCTCCTTGTTTTAAAAAGCTACTGAAGCTGCGCTTGTCTGATCTCCTCTCTCAAAATAAGAATACACATCATCTAACATACACATATGGAATCCAGGCATATCCGGGTGGTCTTCTTTCTACTTTTAGCTTAAGTCAATAATTAATTAAATTATGTTTTTATATATATTCATAGGAATTTATTTTAAAATAAATCTGTGTTATCAGAATATGGTAAATGAGTCAACTCTTAGACATACACACACACACACACACACACACACACAGAGTTAGATGGATAGATAGATATTTATACTTAAGCATGGCTAAGCATAACTTAATACAACTCTTAAGTTGCCATCTGGTTAAACATGGGAGATTCAATTTACTTATTTAGCTACCTTTCCCCCTAAAATGCCACTAGATTGACAGCAGAGTTTTTAAAAAGGCAGTCTCTCAAAGAATGAGAAAGTCGGAAAGTGGTAACAACTGCCAATCTTTGGAAACCAGGGCCTAGCAAACTTGAGAAAGCTAAACCCTAGGTTGGCAGTGGGAAATTGAAGAAGCAACCTGAGTTTTATCTCCATATCTTCATAAAACTCGGTCATTGTCAACTGCAGGTGCCTTTACAAGTGGAAGTGAGGGTGAAAGATGAGAGAGGAGGTTTCTGAAGCAATTCCTAGGTCACTTCCCCAAACTGACTCAAACTGGAGGTTTAGAACTTTGAGCACATGGCGTGGTAGGCCTCTGACTGGGGAGAACACAGGCATGCAGCAGGTGGGGCTGTCATCATGAAAGCTGAAGAACTGGATATTCTGAATGTTGGACTTTCTAGCTTTTTCCTGAACTTAGCTTCCATAACATTAGGGCCGACTGCTTATCTTCCTGACGGAAGATGGCAAGAGCTTTCTCGGGGGGGCTGCGACTGGCCTAAGAAAAGAAGCCCAAAGATACCTATTTCAGTAGACTCCTGTGTAGCTGTCTGGCTGGATCACTCCACATGATGACTACAGTTGTGCGTCCCTGGCTGGAAGCAGGCTTTTTTTTTGGCTATAGAGCGCTTGTGTTCACGAGAGAAAGTAACAGAGAAAGAGGTCACTTACGCACACAAGCCCTTCGTGATTTTTCACGCCACTAGGTCTAGAATGCTAACCGCGCAGTCAGCCATGTAGGATCCAGCATCATAACCACCACACCACCTGCTGGCCCTGCACACAGCGTTTTGCCATCCCACTGTTAAGTAAAAGCAGACAATGAGTATTGCTACTGATGAGGAAAGGAGCTAACGTGGAAAACAAATGAAAGCAAATGGGAAAAATCACCTTGTAGGAAACAGACTATAGAACAAGAAGAAAGTGTTGAAAACTTATCTTCAGAGAGATCAAAATAGATACCACATCCATAAAACAAGTATAGGATGCTATTAAAAGGAATACTTAAGAACAGCAAAGAGCTTGTGAATGAATATTTTAAAAATAGAAATGAAAAACTTAAAGAGAAGTGAAAAACCTAGTTGAATATGACAATTGAGGAAATGTCCCTGAAAGCAAATTATAAAGGCAAAGTGAAATAGCGAACATAGAGGAAAATTAGATGAGCCATCCTGTATTGTAGTAAGAGCAAATGAGAATGAAGAGAGTGGAGGATGAGGAAACTGATAATGGGATTACTGACGAAAATTTCTCAGAGCAGAGATATGTATGAGTTTATTTTTTTTTTTAAAGATTGTTTATTTATTTCTTCCTTGAGTGAGAAAGACAAAGAGACAGAGAGCAATAACATCCCAACATGGTCCAGATGCCAGCCATCCACCTCCAGCCTTGAGACAGCCCCAGATCACGGACAAGCACGTTTCTGGTATACTCAGGAAGGTTTCCATACTGAAACTAGGTACCTTCCCATGTGGGATTGCTTCATGGAGTGTTGAATTTTACCACTGTGCCACCATCTGGTCCCTGTATGAGATTTTAAGATTGAAAGAGCCCAACCTATCAGATGCCCAACCCTGTGGATACAGGAAAGCTAAGTACAGAAATGTGTAGCTTCAGGCCATGGGGAAGGAAACTCCTTCAAGCTCCTATAGAGAAAAAACAGATTGCATGGTAACAAACAAGAACTATAGGGACCAGCAGTTAGTGTAATGGCTATGTCGCTGGACTCCCATGTAGTCGATCCCGGTTTGAGTCCCAGACCTGGTGGCTTAAACTCACACCAGCCGTGTGTGCGTGCATGCCTAAGATCCTGAGAAGAGAACGGAGGAGAAGGGATTGTGGCATGGCCATCCCCCCTGGGGGGGTGATTTCCCACTTTCTGTCTCTCTCTGTCTTTCTGGCGAGCATGTGCACCCTGTAGCAAAAACTTCTCCAAAAAAAAGAAGAAAGAAAGAAAAAGAAAAAGAAACAAGAACTATAATAGAATGGCAACACTGGAATCCAGAGACAGTGAAGTAGTGCCTTGCAAGCAACAGTCTGTAAATTTTTCACCTTGGAATTCTAAAACAGCCAGACAGCAAAATGCTAGTTTCAAAACTTTATCTTCCGCCCACACTTTCACAGGAGCTACTGGGGAATGCGTTTCTCTAAAGCAGGAGAATAAAGCATGAGGATGTGGGACCTAGGAAACAAGACACCCACACAGGAGAAAAGCAAAAGGAAGCCCCAGCAGGTGGTGAAGGGAGATCCCAAACCTCAGCTGTGCCGCAAGTCCAAGGTCAGCCAGGCCTGACAGCTCTGGGAGAGTGGTTCTCAGAAGATGAAGTGGTCAAATACCAGCTCTGTTGGAACATCTCCACAGGAGACTTTTTTTAAAAAATTAATTATTTATTTAACTTTATTTATTCATTTTTTTTTTTAAATTTGACCAGACACACTCACACACATGCGCACACACACACACAGAGAGAGAGAGAGAGAGAGAGAGAGAGAGAGAAAGAGAGAAAGCAAGCCATCAGGTCCAGGACTTGAACTGTGTTTGGCCATATGGGAGTGTCCAGTGCCGTAACAACCACACCACCCACCCACTGGTCCTGCCACAGGGCATTTATACAACTCATAGCAAGATTGAGGTTGAATAGCTATAAGCAGGTACATGATGAAGCAGGTTAAGAAACAGACAGTAATTGTCTCCAAGGAAAATGAAAATATCATGGTGGAAAGAAAAAAGACTGCGTGGCTCAGCTGCGTTACGGTTACAACTGACAAACTAAGGCTTTTCCATAGCCTTAGTAGAGCAGATGCTCAACAGTTTCTCTATTCTAAGTTAGGATCTGCTTATTGACAGAATGGAAGAATAGGAGATGAGGGGGGAGAGAATCGGAGTGGGTTAGGTCAGCCATGAAGGGCAGGGAGAGTGTTCGTTGTGTGCCCTTTTATGTTGTTTTGGTTTTTGAATCATGGAATGGTTTTCTTAAATCTAAAAAAGTTTTAAAAGTGTTATTTTACTATTTGTAATAGACTTTTCAACAACATATTTCCATTACAAATATGCTTTTTTTTTCCCTCTTCAGAAATTAAAACACAGAGCCCGGGGTTGTTCACCCGATATCAGACAAATAGACCTGGACGTCAACCGCACCTTCAGGGACCATATTATGTTCAGAGACAGATACGGTGTTAAGTAAGTAAAATTTCTTATTATGAAATATAAATAATCTCTTACAAGTAGTCTTTATCAGAGTCCACATTAACTTGAAATATGAGTGTTTTTGAATATCTATGTAGACTATGAGTTTTGACTCAGGTCCTAAAAGTTTATGCTTTTGCAAATTATTTGAGTCCATGTTATATGGAATTTAGGATCTAATTGAACTTGAATTTTTCAACTATTGACATAGTAGGTGCTATACAATTAGTAATGAATCATTTTGTGATCTGAGCATTCTTAGAAATACAGTAATACTTTAAATAAAAGCCATAGGAAAGAAACGAGAGATTGCATGTGAAAAGTGTCATTGATAAACACATCTCCGTATCCTTGATCCATGCATAAATGAAAGTTTATAAAATGGGGCCTGAATCAAGTATAGTGAGAAATTAATATGGTGAGAATAACAGGGCATTAGTATGACACATTGACATGTTGTTGCTATGACAGTTTATGAATGAATGACACTGTTTTGCTGACCTCTGTATCAGTCAGAGTCCTTTCAGAGAATTAGAGACCAACCAGTGGAAGCTGTATATGAAGAGACTTAATGCAAGGTATTGTCCCGTCAAACAGTGTGGGCTGATGAAGCAAGTCCCAGATCTTTAGGGCAGGCCGTCAGAAAAGACGGGGTAGAACTCTTAGGCATGAGCTGAAACTGTTATCCATAAGAAAAATTTTTTCTTTAGGGAAGACTCAGTTCTGCTCTTAGGGCTTTTAAACTAATTGAATCAGGCTCACCCAGATTATATAAGATAATCTTTCCTTTTAAAAGTCAATAAATCTAGATTTTAATCATATCTATAAAATACCTTCACAGCAACATCTGTATTAGTGTCTGAATAGCTGGCATTTTGTGTTTTCACAGAAAACTTATCATCAGTTTTATCTTTGTCAACATGGCATTCACATGTCACATTCCTTACACAATTCTTTTTAAATTTTTTTTGGAGAAGTTTTTGCTACAGGGCACGTGTGCTTGCCAGAAAGACAGAGACAGAGAGACAGAAAGCTAGAAATTACCCCCCAGGGGGGATGGCCATGTTGCAATCCCTTCTCCTCCATTCTCCTCTTGGGATCTTGGGCACACATGCACACTCAACCAGTGTGAGTTTAAGCCACCGGGTCCAGGACTCGAACCGCAGTCGACTACGTGGGAGTCCAGCAACATAGCCATTTATGTCAACTACTAGTCTCAATAATTCTTAATTTCTAAATAAGATAATAACCAAGTTATACTCCCATTGAACATGGCACAGCTATTAGAACTGAAAACATGCTAACCCTTCCACCTCAAGTGGATGATGTTCACTTTTGCTTTCAAATCATATAACTTAAATACTGTGATTTAAAGTCAACTATTATTAATACATCATGTGGTAGATGATAAGGGAAAAGAGAAGAAAAAGTTGTTTATACACACACACACACACACACACACACACACGTGTGCACATGCACACACATACTCATACCAAGATAAGGAAGATGTACTCACAGACATCATTTTGCTACTGGACTTGTAGTCATAGCTAGTATCTATTATTTATCTTCTCCCACTGCCTATCCCAAGTTCCCATTTCCTTACCAAGTCCCTCAACTGGTCATGGATCCCTACTTGGTGGGATGACCCAAACTTTCATTTTTGAAAAATCTGGACTCTTAGTAGTCCTGTTTGAATTGGGTTGTACTTTTCCATTGGCTTTGATCACAGGGCTTGGTAACACAGGAGATATCCCAAATGTTCCCCTGTATCCCAGACATACTCTTCCTTAAGTCCACTGTGTGGGCATAACTCATTTTTCCCCTAGTAATCAGGATCATTCATCTACCCAGCACAGTCACTTCCTTTGCCTGTTGATTATGAGACAGAAGAAACCTAAGTAGTTGGGTGGCAGTTGTAGCTTCCAATTTGGTGGAATCATTGTTGTATCTCCTGGCAGAAGCATTTCTCCTTTTAGAGCTAAGATCTCTAGACCTACCTCTAAAGTTGCAGGAATAAGAAACAAAATCTTTGCTGGTGGATCACTAGGGATAATAGTGAGTAGAGCCACTCCTGTTTCATCCTTTGAATCTTGGATTCCTGAATCCTGGCTATGGGAAAAATAACACTTTATATTTTTGAGCCCGATTCAGAGCATATTCTGCTTCCTGGAGGACACTGCCACAGTCCTGCAAGGGGCTGCAGCTAGACGGTGCTGAAACTGAGTCTGTGAAAGGCCATCCTACTATTCTGTGAAGCCAGCTGCTTCTATACAGATGCTTTTAGGGTGAAATAATTCGACAAAAGAGGGAACACATTTAAGAAATTATGAGGTTTTCTGCAGCCAATTAAGCCGACTGTGCCCCTTTCCTCATGGGGGCCCGGTGTGCAGTGGCTGCAAACAGCAGCCTCCTGGGTAGTGTATGTAGCCTGTTGTTTGTACGGGTTGATCTAAGGGACCTTGGAGACAGCCCTTCCCAATGGATGTTTCTGTTTCTGACCTTGTGCTGTTCCTAGTCTAGGCTCCAGACAGGTATGAGGGGTGCCTTTTGGAAGCCCCAGGACACGGTAGCCAGGGTCCACATTGGCCAGGTTATCATGTCCATCTGCACCAAGCTGCAGAGCAAGGAGCATGTGATTGAGGCCCTCTGCAGGGCCAAGTTCAAGTTCCCTGGTTGACAGAAGATCCACATCTCAAAGAAGTGGGGCTTTACCAAGTTTAATGCTGATGAATTTGAAGATATGGTGGCTGAGAAGCGCCTTATCCCCGATGGCTGTGGTGTCAAATAAATCCCCAGTCGTGGTCCCCTAGACAAGTGGAGAGCCTTGCACTCATGAGGGTTCATACTGTGCTGCCCCTTCCTTAATCACAGTTAACAATAAATCTTCTGATCTCCTAAAAAAAAAAGAAAAGAAAAAAAGAAAAGAAAAGAAAAGAAATTATGAAGTTCTTTGTAGGTGTTTGCAGAATTTATTTCTATCAGGATGAATGTTACCTACTTCTCAAGTTTAAACTGTCTGGAGGATTATTTTGAGTTTGGGGTGATTTGTTTATTACAGCAGTAATTTTATCTGAATTATTTATTTGTTTTCAGTCAGCCTTTTTACTTAAGTTTGCAATTCTAAAAACATGTGAAATAACTAAATTGTGTTTAATGTGAAGTTTTTTCCCCCTAGGCAACAATCTTTGTTCCATGTTCTTGCTGCATATTCTATTTATAATACGGTAAGTTAGAGCATGCCTACCCATACATAGTTCTTTGAATTGTGTTCTCAGGAACTGAGGTGCTCCTTTGAAACTTTCTATGGAGTGTGGTCTGTCTGAATGCATCTCTTCATTTCAGGATGAGATGGTCTCCACAGTTTCATTGAGCACTAGAGCTTTCTCTGTGGCTCCTGCAGTAACCCTAGAGTCTTTGAGTAGAGCTGATTTGGGAGTGGAAAACCTCAATATAACCAAAATATGCCCATGAATCTTACCTTTTCTCTCCCCCTCCTGATTGTATTGTTACGTTTTGTGTTGTTTTGTTTTTATTTTTAAGCAAATAGGAGTGAGAATGGGCAGGGTAGAAGGACAGGAAGTTGGTGCCTAGATTAATACTGCTTAACTTCTAATAACTCTATGTTGCTCCTGGAAGGCTGCCTTTTAGCACCATTATTGTATCTGTTAGGTGAGGTCCAAGTAGGATAGCAGGTGTACTTGTTTACTATCCCTGAGAGTAAGCACAAACTTATTATTACTGGTAATAATATGCTGTTCTTTAAGGCATTTATTATTTGGGTGGACGGGGAATTAACTAGGGGTAAGATTAATTCATGTTGAACCGAATATGAGTGTTGGATAAATACTTGTGGGCTAGACTGGGTACCAGGTAGGGCAACCTTTATACCTTGGGAGATACATATACTTTTTAAATTACAAGAACAGAAATTTACTCAAACTAGAGAAAATTAAAAAGGGGTTATTAAAGGGACTTCTAGAAATGAAGCAATAGTTGGGCCTTGTGGGAGCTGAAGCTAAACAATGGGAAGTATTCGGTGAAAGAGATAACTGTATTTTCTGTTTCTCCCTCTCTGGGGGCATAGAGTGTACCTGATTATCTCTGAGAACTGTTGATGCCACTGTTTCTCTCTCCTTCACCATTTATTCCATGGCTGAAATTGTGGCTATAGACTCCATGTGACCATTTTGTTCAAGTGCATACCCCTATTGATTTCAATCTAGCTTTCTTCAAATTTCCTAGAGAGATTATCTAATAAGTTAGTACAACCAGTTAGCTATTCCACTCTGGTCAGGTGTCCTCTTCTGGTCTCTTAGCTATGGTTAGTAATGGCCCAACCATTAGTTCCTAAGGCCACATCTTAAGCAGAGACTATGAAGAGTGCAGTTCTCAGAGAGAGGGCACAGGCTGGATAGGCATCCGAAAATGTGTCTTTTTCAGGGTCCAGAAATACAGAGGAACAGGATAACAAACTAGGAATTGGTGGGGGGAGGGGGGGAATCTGCCAACATTTGGGCAAAGAAGAGAAGTAGTGAGCTGAGAATCATAAATAAAATGAAATAAATATAAGGGCTCTTAATAGAGGTATAACAGTATTGAGCAGAGGACTATTAAAACTTTTTTTAAAGAGATTTTGCCATAGGGCATGTGTATTTGCTGGAGGGGGGTGGGGTGGGGTTTTTGCCATAGGGCATGTGTATTTGCTGGAGGTGGGTGGGGTGGGTTATGCCACAATTCCTTCTTCATTCTTCTCCTGGGATCTTGGGCATACACACATACCCACCTGGCGTTTCAAGCTTCAGGGTCTGAGTCTCAAGACTGCAGTCAGCTAAGTGGGAGTCCAGTGATGCAACCACTATACCATCTGCTGGCCCCAGCATGATTATTTGTTTCCATGTAGATTTTGTTTAGATTTTGTTTAAATTAACATTTGTAACATTTATTCTTGAACACAGTTTTATTCTTTTAAAATATGTGACATAATGCTGTAAAGCTTATACTATTTATGCCAGAATCAGGTGTCCAAGCATTTCCTAGCATTTTATAGATGAACTTTTTCTGTGTGCACATACATATACGTACATTGTAAACTCCTCAGTTTCTGTGTGCTCTCTTGCTCTGTAGGAAGTCGGGTACTGCCAGGGGATGAGCCAGATCACAGCTTTACTCCTCATGTACATGAACGAGGAAGACGCCTTCTGGGCCCTGGTCAAACTCTTCTCGGGTCCCAAACACGCCATGCATGGTAAGAAGACCTCATTTCTTATAAAAAATGATAAACATGGGAGAAGAAAAGGTAAATTAAAACAAAATCAAAGATGCTTGATAAAGTGTAGCAAACTTAATGTTTCAGGGCTCATTTGATTAATTTGTATTTGTTATTAATTTCTTCATGCTTTTTCTTTATTGAAGTTTTGTACATTTTTCTACTCACTGTTATTTTTCTTTGTCCTTTGACCAAAATATGTTATTAGCATTTTAAAATTCTCTTCTTACTTTTTCCCAGTCAGAATTAACTAACTTAGGTTTGGAAGAATTTACGAAAAACTGGGAGAAATGAAAGATGCATTTTGATCAGAGCTTTTAGACAGTCATGCAATTATCATTTCAATGAAATATTTACCATTGACTATGTATTATGATGTATAATTCCTTATTCCTTATCAAAGAATATGGAGAAATATAGAAGTGTACAGAGAAAAGGTACACAATAATTAAGTAGTTTTATACTTCAAGTTTGTTTTTTACTTTTTTCCTGATTTTATGAATATTTTTAAAAAGCATTCTATCATGCTTGAACATTGTATAATCTACTTTTCTCTCTTATTGTTATAAACAGCTTTCTATACCAAAAATATTTTTTACAATTAGAGTATTATACTCTGAATTGGAATATAGCATACAATTTACTTAATTATTTTTATTATGAAATTATTTTATCTTTTTATTTATTTTTCATTTAATCACTGTATTTTTTTTTTTTTCAGAGAGGTTTTTTCGCTATAGGGCACGTGCGCTCGCCAGACAGACAGACAGAGACATAGAGACAGAAAGCGAGAAATCACCCCCCAGGGGGGATGGTCACGCCACAATCCCTTCTCCTCCATTCTCCTCTAGGGATCTTGGGCACGCACGCACATGCACCCGGCATGAGTTCTAAGCGACCGGGTCCAGGATGTGAACCGCGGTCAACTACGTGGGAATCCAGCAACATAGCCATTACGCTAACTGCTGGTTCCCATATATTTTTACAGAGTACAGCATGGTTTTTCCCAGCATGAATACACTATATATCAGTCAAGACAAAGACATTACTATATACATTACCATCAACAAACAACTTAATTTTTCTGTCAATTAAGTGTATTTTCCCTCTTCTCCCATGATACTTTACTTCTTTTAGACATAAAATTGCTTTCATTTTAAATAAGAGACTGATAATATGTTTAGATGCTTGATTATTTAATATTTCAAAAGTTGTGTAATTTTTTTTGGTTTTCAAGTTAGCATATTGTTTTTAGTATCTTTTTTCCTTATGTTAACAAGCATATGCAATAAACTTGATTTCAGGGAGTTTGAATTGTAACTTGTCTTGGTTAAAGCAGTTTTTTTTTTTTTTGGGGAGAGGTTTTTTCGCTATAGGGCGCGTGCGCTCGCCAGACAGACAGAGAGAGACATAGAGACAGAAAGCGAGAAATCACCCCCCAGGGGGGATGGTCACGCCGCAATCCCTTCTCCTCCATTCTCCTCTCGGGATCTTGGGCACGTACGCACACGTGCCCGGCGTGAGTTTTAAGCCACCGGGTCCGGGACGCGAACCACGGTCGACTACGTGGGAGTCCAGCGACATAGCCATTACGCTAACTGCTGGTTCCCAAGCAGTTTTTTTCCCATATAATGCCAAAATAATTTTCCCAGTATCATTCATGTGGTAACGTGAAATTAAAAACAATTTAGTGTTAAGTAATTAACACTAATCACTCTAATCGTGGGTCATCAGTTTGGTTCTAAATATTTAAACTTTATGTGATAGGAATCTACCACAGATATAAAGTGCTACTTTAATATTTTCAAAGTTAAGACTTTCCATAGTTCATTGTTTATTACATCTCACAATCTTACCACGTGGTATTTGTGCGGTTGTATGTGTGTATTTCTGTATTTGTTTGTCTCCTGTAGTGTTCCTTAACGGTTACTTTAACAAATATAGTCTGCGTTATCACTGTTTTTGAGCACTTTGCATCCCATAAATAGATTTCAAATGTAAAACATATTATTATATTCAGTTGCCATCCAGTAGACAGTGTTGAAGAAAAATAACTTCCTTTTCAGCCTTTATTTTCCTTTTCCTTGGGATGGTATTGCTGATCAATCATTTTTTTGGGGGGGCGGGGAGGTTTTTGCTATAGGGCGTGTGTGCTCACCAGAGAGGGACAGAGAAACAGAAAGTGAGAAATCACCCCCCAGGGGGGATGGCCATGCAGCAATCCCTTCTCCTCCATTCTTCTCTCAGGATCTTAGGCACGCATGCACACACGCCTAGCGTGAGTTTAAGCCACCGGGCCCGGGACTCGAAACACGGTCGACTACATGGGAGTCCAGTGACATAGCCATTACTCTAATTGCTGGTTCCTTGATGATCAGTCTTGAAGTATAATGGAATGTTAGAATTTCAGTGGTATGTAATTAGTTGCAAACTGTCCAGTTTTAGAAAAGAGCCATTTCTTTGAAACCTATTTGATAGCTTACCATTAGCAGTTATTGTCACCAGTCTGGTCTATAAAGCAATGTTAATTCTATCCAAATATTCATGCTTCAGTGCAGGCTAGGTCATTATTAGGGGTAAATTTGTACTGAGAGATACTTGTTTCTATATATATGCCTATGAACTTTGATAACTAAAGGTTACTTGATCTACACAAAGCTAGGACTAATAAAAAACCTAAGCTTTAAGATATAATGTCTGGGACATCTCTGAGAAATGAAGAAATAATAAGTTAGCATCCTTGAGCAAGTTATTACTGAAACACATTGACTTTTTCAAAAATCAGACTGTTCTTGAAATTTTTCCAACTCCTGTTCTGATTAAATTGACCATGAAAGTGGCACTGATAGAAAGAGGTTTTTTTTTGTTTTGTTTTGTTTTTTTATTTTTTAATGAAATAATTTCACTGGAAAATATTACTAAAGGAGGAATAGAATCTCTGTCTCTGGAAACTTTTAGTCACACCTTAGAAACCTGAGAACTAGTTAAGGAATAGTCCTGCCCAGTAGATTGTAAAGTGTTTTTCCCAATAGTGTGCTCTTCAGCTTTTAGAAGGAACATAGTTTTACTTTTTGGATACAGATGTTCCATTGTAGAATAATGAATTCCAAGTCAGCAAAGTTGGGGAGACCGAGTTAAACAAAAAAGATAAACTTCATTCGATCCCTTAAGATAACTTAAGAATCTCAATAAACTAAGATGTACCAGGAATATCCAAAAAGAGTATATGTAACATTTCCCCTGAATTCTTTTTGAGAAACAGAACATCTGTTTGCATCTTTCAAAATTACATAGATATTTTCCAAAATTGCATATTTTCCAGGTTAGAAAAGTACTATTGTGAAGAAATCATAAAGCCCATTGAGTATATGTTCTTTTTATATAGGCTTGTGTAAATAGTTTGAAAGAAAATTTGTGAATGAAATCAGACATGAAATTCAGTGATTTAAATGTCCAATATCAGTACCAACTTAGAATTTCTCACAGAAATTGTATAGATACATAATCAGTAAAAAATAGGAGTTTTTAAAAATTTATTCATTCATTTCTTCTGTGAACGAGTGAGATAGAGAGAAAGACAGAGATAGCCCTCCTAACCCCCTGGGCCCCAATGCCACAACTGGCTCAGACTCTTCCAGCCCTGGCATGGGCAAATTTTTGCCCAGTGTACTTAGAAAAGTCTCCAGATGTGAACCAGAAGCCTCCTATGTGGGTCAGCCTCCCAGAGCCTCTTGTTTTTGTTGCTGCCCCATCACACCGTTTGGCCCCCAGACATGATTTTTTTAAAAGTTGATTTACTTTATTAAAAATATTAGCATATCCATGCATGAGAGAGAGACAGAGAAAGAGAAAGAAACAGCATCCTCAACAGAACTTTGTCACACTGTAATCCCCCTTACGTGGCTCTCTGGCTTGTCAGAATCCTGGCCACGCAAGCACGCACCCAGAGTGGTTTCAGGCCAACCCCAGGGATCTAAACCTGCAGCTGGTCATGTGGCTTCCAGCACTGCAATTCAGCTTGCTCCCAACTGTGCTAGGCTGGGCCCCAAACACAATTTTTTTGGATATAATATTGATCATATAGTGCGTGTATATTTTAGCTGATGTTATATAACTTATAGAAAGGATTTAAAAACTGATTAAAAACTGCAGAGACATAATACTAATGAAATTGTTAGAATAAACCTGCAACAAGTATTAAAATGTTATGCACTATGGGGAACCGGCACTTAGCGTAATGGCTATGTCGCTAGACTGCCACGTAGTCGACCGCGGTTTGCGTCCCGGACCCGGTGGCTTAAAACTCACGCTGGGTGCGTGTGCGTGCGTGCCCAAGATCCCGAGAGGAGAATGGAGGAGAAGGGATTGCAGCATAACCATCTCCTCTGGGGGGTGATTTCTCGCTTTCTGTCTCTATGTCTCTCTCTGTCTGTCTGGTGAGCACATGCACCCTATAGCGAAAACCTCTCAAAAAAAAAAATGTTATGCACTATGTTATCAGTGAAAAGAAATGACAAGAATAACCCATAAGATTTAGGTATTTAAGGTATGGCCTTAAAAGAACAGATAAATCTTGATAAATGACTTCAGTTTCCATATTCTTCTTTGCATCATAGTTTTCTGTTTACTTCAGAAATATTCTGTCCTACTATATTTTTAGAAGGTTTTAGGAAATCTTTAGCAAACAAGTAGGCTAAAAGTTTCATTACCTAGCATTTATGTACAATTATTTTCTTGATGGGAAGGAAAACTATTTTGGTAACTACTGGATGTTTCTTTTTGACATTTACAAACCAAAGAGATAAGTCGCATTTTTAAATGGATTTTTTTGTTATTCATATTATTTATGAAGTATTGTTTTTATGTTTTTATTCTAGGCTTTTTTGTCCAAGGTTTTCCTAAACTTTTGAGGTTTCAAGAACATCATGAAAAAATACTGAATAAATTTCTGTCCAAGCTAAAGCAACACTTGGTAGGTAGATATGGCACTGAGTTACACCCACTTGCACTAAAAGTAAAGCTAGAATAATTAATTTCAGTCTTTGGCCCCAGCTACCTTAGTAATTTATAGCATCATCCATTTCATTTATTGTGCAGTTTGTTTCTAAAACATTAGACTTGTAAAATTTAATATGAATAGACTATCACAGTCCAAACCCATGGATTCATATTTCTTCTCTGAAGCTGAAAAATACAAACAATATATTTTTAACGATATGTGATTTCTTACTTATTTTGGAGTTTTTTTTTTTAATTGTACAAAAAGTATTCTAAATGTCACTGAAACTCATTCTTAGTGAACTGTATATGCTTTACTATAGAACACAGTAGTTCCGTAAAGCAGAGAGAGTTCATTGTGAAATGTATAAAAGAGAATCTAAATGTTGCATTATAATGCTATTATATGAAAAATTTACTCTTTGAGCGATTTTGAGAAGTAAAACTAGGAGGAAAAAGTTAGAAGAAAATAGATAACATAAAAAGGTTATTATGAGATCATTTAATGTTTAGCTTGACAGCCTTCCTAACCTTTAATATTATATATTGTAATATTTTGTTTGCTACAATTCAGAAATTGTGAGGTCTTTGTTTTTACAGGATTCTCAAGAAATCTACACAAGTTTTTATACAATGAAATGGTTTTTTCAGTGTTTCCTGGATCGTGTGAGTATTTATTAGCAAAACTCAACTGTAAATTTGTAAATACAAGATGAGGGGGAACTGTTAACCTTATTTCTGTTTTGTTTTGCTTTTAATTATAGACTCCCTTTACACTAAACCTCAGAATATGGGATATCTACATCTTTGAAGGAGAACGAATTCTTACTGCTATGTCTTACACAATCTTAAAATTACACAAAAGTAAGAAACTTTTTATAAAAGTTTAGTTATAAAAGTTATAAAGATTTTATAAAAATCAAGGCATATTTTAATGCTGACTTTGTATCCTCCACCCTACTTCGAATTCATTGTTTCTTGATAGTGGCTTAAAAAAATGCTTGAAAATCAGTGGAGATATAATTAGACTTCATTTGATAATTTCATTGGATCTTTCTTATGACTAGACATTAACTACAATTCCAAGGTCTTCGATTCTTTTCTCTGTATGTCAGTTTCATTTTCATTCTTATGCAATAGAATGCAATTTGTTGGTTTCACTAATAATATTCTTATTATATATTTGTTTCCACGAGACTCCTTTTTTTTTTTTTTTCCATCTATCTGAATATCAGGTTTGTAATAGACAATAGAGAGGCCAAAGAAATGGGGCCCCTTAGTTAAAGGAACTAGTGAGAATATTTTCTATTAACTATCTTCTTAATCTAGGAAAAACACACCCAGCCACAGACTGTGGGTGGAAAATTTGTAGGTCCTCTCTCTCCTTGGCCGTCTTGTGGCCGTTGGGTAAGCAGTCAGTGTCTACAGCTACTGGAATACAGCAGGGCTTTTTAAGAAAACACAAGACTTTTTAGTCATCAGTTGTAATGCTTTAAGGGCTCTGAATTTGATATGCCGTGCCTTAATTTAAAATAAAGAAATGAGAGGTTTTTTTTTTTTTTTAAATAAATGTGAAGAATTTTATTCATCTTTAAAATCTTAATTCAACTTTAAAAATTATGTGACTCCATTTATACCTGTGCAGAGAATCACTGAAAGCTTTGGAGCTTCATCTAGTAAGTGCTTATGATCTGAGTCATACTACATGGTCTCACAGTCACTGTATACTCTTACTCTCTCATGTTCTTCTCGAATGATCTGTTTAGCTTCCAACTAAACTATAAGCTAATTGAGTATATATAGGGATATTTGTAGTTTTTTTCCTCTGCTGTGCTTGTCGTTGTTCTGAGTGCATTAGGCTCAAGGTGAAATTAGTTGTTTTCTTGGAAAGATGGGGCTTCAGGAGCGCTGTGTTAACTATACTTTAAGTAGGAATGAAAACTCCCTTTGCATTGCTTACTCTTCTCAAGAAAGAGATTCAGTGTTGTTCTAGTTCATTTCTCTTATTCTCAATTCGTGTTTCCTCGACAAAGACCAAAAACAAAACAATTGAAAACTAATTATCTTCCAAGACTCAACGTTCTGACATCTGACGATATCGCACCTCTCACTCTCCCTCCTCCCTTTTCCTGTTCCTTCTTCTCCTTCCACTTTTCCTTCTCTTTACTTCCTTTCTGTCTTTCTGGATTGTGAATGGATCAAACCATAGAACAAAAGTATAAGTGAGAAAAGAAAAATATGATGTTCTATTTCTCTATAGCTCTCATCTCCCTGTTAAATTGTTTTATTTTTCTGACCCTTAATTAGTTTTGAGAAGTAAAAAGTTTCTCTACTTTCTAGCATTGCAGTTATTTTGTATGCCAACATATTATTAAGTTAAGTAAGGTGTGGAGAAGTCTTGACTACAGCGTCCTGTTTTTCTTAGTTATAGAGACCAAGCTCAAGGTCTAAATGAAATTCCTTCATCCCCATATAATCCTTCAATACCTGCATGATGGTTGGGAACACACAGACAGATGTTGGTTAAAGAGTATAAAGTTTTAGTGTTAGTTAAACAGGAAGGATAAGTTCTGGACATATATTGTACAGCAGGGTGACCGTACTTAATATATAATATACTTGAATATTGCCAAGAGGGTGGATCTTAAATGTTCTCATCACAAAAATTACTATGTAAGGTGATAGATGTCAGTTTGATTTACTCATTCTGTAATGTACCCTTACATCCAAACATTAAACTGTACGCCCTAAATATATACAACGTGTCATTTGCCAATTAAAAAAACATGAAAACAAAACAAAAAAATCAAAACTGTTTCTGGGGACCTTAGCCAATAGTTAGCTGAAACGTATAAGAGATTTTCCATTTTCTCCTTTATTTCCTTCCTGATTGGCTTTTAAATCCCAGAGGGTATGTATGTGCACTCACCAAGAGCGAGACAGAGAGAGAGAGAGGAAGAATGCACCTCCGACAGGCATAGTCACACCTCCATTGCTTCTCCTTCCGTTCTCCACCCATGTAGTGATTTTAAATAGTAAAAAAGCATACACCATCCGAATGCCCGTTATTGCCCACCCCCCAGTTTGATTGCCTATCTTTCTATGTTACTGCTTAGTGTCTGAAAATATCTTTGTCATATTCTGCTCTAGTGGTATTTACAATTCCATGTATAGGTTACATACATGCTTTTTAAATGCCCTTTTAAAAATAAAGTACAAAGCCTGAATAGAATATATTGTCTTTTCAACTTAAAGTAGCTATTAACTCAGCAGTTTGATTTCTCCCATTCTTTCTTAGAACATCTAATGAAACTCTCTATGGAAGAGCTTGTAGAATTTCTTCAGGAAACCCTGGCAAAGGATTTCTTCTTCGAAGATGATTTTGTCATAGAGCAGCTTCAAATTTCCATGGCAGAACTGAAGCGAGCGAAATTAGACCTTCCAGAACCTGGTAAGAAATACCTTGACACTTTGTGTCTAAATTTTAATTAAGATTGGAAGACATGGCACGACTAACACGGGTCACTTCTATTTCTGATGAGATAACATAATGTAAACATAATGATAACATGAAGCTGCTTATTGCATTCTTACTTTAAGAAAAAGCAAATAAATGTACTAATTAAATCTGCCTCTCCTAATAGAATAACTATATTATTTCTACTTAAATTTAGAGACCTGATCGACAGATGATACTGTTCAACAGAAGTAACTATAGTGTTTAATGTAACATAAATACTTTTTACTTTCATCATCATCTTGTAAAACCATGTGCAATAGCTGTGCAAGTAAAAGCCCCATTTTATAGATGAGGAGACTGATGCTTAAATACAAAGCTTCAGAACCACCAGATAGCATTGCCAAGAGTCAAGTTTTTCTGAGTACTAATCCAGGGCTCTCTGCAGAACACTGCAGTATAGCTAATGTATCTTATTTACTTATTCAAAAGCATTTTTCAGCGCCTATTATTAGGATTTCTGCTAGGAGCTCTACTGGGATTTAAAAACTGAAGAGAAAGATGTGTTTCTTGCTCTCAGGGTGCACATAGGACAGACAATTTACACAAGTTCTAGCAAACAGTGTGTGAATGGGGCAGTAATAGAGCTTGCTTGGTAGGATAAATGGGAGGAAGGGGAGTGGAAGAGGAGAAAGACGAAAAGAATACAGAAAGATTGCAGTAGGAAAAACTTACGCTTTCGATGTATGCTATCCTGAGAAAAAAGTTATTTTTGCCTTTTTTCTGCTTTTACCTTTGTTACGGTGATCAGAGGCTGGGTAGAAGGTGGTGGGTGAAAGGTAAAAAGTAAGGAAAGTCAGTTATTCACACCCCATTGGAGGTGGTTTCAGCATTTCCCAGTCAGTCTTCTCAGACAGGTCTGTACAGAAGGATAAGCAGAGCTATAGTCAGGGAAAATACATTCTTCACTATGCTAAAAACAAAGGTGATCAGCTTTTACTCATTTTAGAGGGGTCAAACCAGTGTTTCTCTGAGGTTTGTTTCTCATCATCGAGGCTCATAGGAAACAGAACCTCAGAGCAGTAACTGAGTGTCAGCAAAGGTCTATGAAACTGTCACTTTTGCTAAGTGAAGTTCACCCGCCTTTATTCAGGACTCTGTAATAATGTCCATTTTTCCGATAACTTGATCCTATAGTAGGAAATGCTCTTGGAACAACAATTATTCTTGTTACTTTAACATTTATTTTTAAATATCTTGCTACTTTTAAAAAGAGTTTAATAGGACACATATAATATATATATATATGTGTGTGTGTGTGTGTGTGTGTGTGTATATATATATATACATATATATAATAGAGCCATTTAAACATGCGATTAAAGTTTCAAAACTTGTGTACTCGAGACGGGATGATGGTAGATAATTTAGCATCTACTGAGCAGTTAGTATTTGTTGTATGGTTACAGTGTGCCGGTGCTATAAGCACTCATGTAATCTCTAAAAATAACTCTAAGAGAAAATGCTCTTCCACATTTTACAGATGAAGAAACTTAGCAGTAGTAGTTGATGAAGTCTTTTCACTGGGAAATGATAGAGTGGGGATGGAGAGAGGGCACGGCCAATAAAGGGAGAGGGATAGATAGATAATCCCAGAAACCGTGGCTCTGTACTGCGCTGATCACACTGGGAGTTAAAGTGGGATGTATCTGGGTGGCTTAGCTACCACGTGACCTTCAACCTTCCAGCACGATAATCTGACTTCCATCTACTATGCGGTTTCCCCTTTGGCTTACCCTTTATGATCCTCTCTGTAACTGTGAATTGTATAATATGTGGAGCATTAAGATAATTAAATGAATATCTTACCAAGATTTTTTTAAAGTTTTTTTTCCATAGGGTGTTTGCGCTCACAAGAGAGAGAGAGAGAGACAGACAGACAGACAGTGAGAGGGAAAGTTTAATGTCACATCTGTGTTTGTATTTTTGTTTTGTTTTATTTTTGTTTTGCCAAAAGACAGTGCATTTGTGGGAAAGAGGCGGGGGAGAGGTGGAGTGGGAAAGGACCCTCTCTGGGGAATGATCACACTGCAGTAACTTTTCCAGCATTTCTCTTTTTAGGGATTTTGGGCACACACACACACACACACACACACACACACACACACCTGTTCTATTTCTCAAGCTTCTGGATCTGGGATTCGAATCACACATTTGACCATGTGGGATTTATCTGCCTCAAGCTTCATGTCACTGGCTAGCCCTTGTCCTTTAGAAAACGTGTGTTACTTCACTTCCCCTCCCTATAAACTGTCAGTTTGTACTCTGACCAGTAATGTAGGACAGACCTAGACCACTCAGACACACAGTGGTGGTCAATCTGTTTTTTTCACTGCTTGGATATAGTTATTCCATTGTTTTTTCATCTGTATTTTTTTTTATTTTGAGGTGTCTTTCATTTGTGATTGTGTGTGTCAGATTTCTTTTCTTGTGAACTTCCCTGTTTATCCTCTGCCCATTTTTTTTGTTAGTGTATTCATATAGGTTGTTGGTAAATTGAAGAGATTGGCCAGTTTATTATATGTTTTGTACTAACTTTTCATGTGTGGGATTTTTTTTTTAATGGTTTCTTGATTTTGCGTCTTCTGCAAAGATTTTTCCATATACTGAATAAGTTGTTACTCATTACCCATATTTTCCTTTATAGCATTTATATTTTTATTGATGTTTAAATCTTAACAGATTTATTGGTTTATAAAATTGAGTATTATTAAGCCTTTGCTCCTCTAAAATTTACTTTTTATTTATGGGATAAGGACTCAGCTTTGCTTATTGTCGAAAAAGCTAGCCATGTGGACTAACTGCATTTATTAAGTTGTATCATGTCATTTATTTATTCCATTGATTTCGAACTTTCCAGTTTCAAATAATTTAGTATCTATTAGGGCTAATTTCCCATTATATCTTTACCAAGTTATGAAAAAGAATCTGTTAGTATTTTAGTAGTATTGAGATACAGTTTTTTGTTTGTTTGTTTGTAGAGAGATTTTTGCTGTAGGGTACATGTGCTCACTGGAGAGACAGAGAGACAGAAAGCAAAAACTCTCCCCTGAGGGAGGATGGCCACACTGCAATCCCTTTTCCTCTCAGGATTTTTGGGAAAGCACACACATGCACCTGGTGTGAGTTTTAAGTTGCTGGTTCTTGGACTCGAACCGTGGAACCGTGGCTGACTACATGGGAGTACAGCAGCATAACCGTTATGCCATCTGCTATTCCCAAAATACAGGTTTTTTTTTTTTCATCAGTATTGAGATTACATTGAATTTTAAGGTTTTTGAGAGAAAACTGATATTTAAAAATTTTTTTTTCTAAGTAAAAGTTTACCTTTCATGGGGGATTTTACGTAAAATGTGAAATTAATCTAAAAAAAAGAATCGAATGCTCTTAAAAAAGGTTTACTTTTCAGTTATTTGTGTTAATGCCTTTAATAGTTTTCTTCATATAACTGCTACCCTCAATCCCCCATTCATACCCCCCTCCCCCTTTAAGACCTGACCATCATCAAGTGCCCTTAGGTAATCCCCAGTATATTACAGACCAGTGCGCCAAGGTTCCCCACTGCGTTGTTGTCATCCAGGGTTAGGTAGTAGCTCCCCTGAAGAAAGCACAGAGCCAGGGCTGGGGGCTCCCAATCCCTCAGTGGGCATCTTTGTCTTTTTTATTGCTATTGTAAATTGATTATTTTCTTCCTTTTTTCTTCTAACTGGTCAGGAAAATTTCTGGTATATTTTTTATGTTATTTTTATAGCCAATTGTCTGATTTATTTTCTTAGGCCTTCTAAGAGTTTACACATACACTTATATCTTTAAAAAATAATAGTGGGGCCAGCAGGTGGCATGGTGGCTAAGGCACTGGACACCCACATGGCCAACCTTGGAACCAGTGGCTTGAAAATCACGCTGGGCACATCTACCAGTGTACCCAAAATCCCAAGAGGAGAATTGAGGAGAAGAGTTTGCAGCATGGCCATCCTCCACTCTTGAGGGCGAAGTGATTTCTCACTTTCCCTCTCTGTCTTTCTCTGGCAAGGTCATGCACCCTATGACCAAAAAAAAAAAAAAAGAAATCCCTCTTCCTTCTCAATATTCTGCTTTTAATTACTTTTTCATCTCAAGCAAGTATCCAACTATTACTGGATAGATAAAATTTATTTTCTAAATTATTTTTAGATTTTTACCATAGGGCACCTGTGCTTGCCAGAGAGAGGGAAAGTGAGAAATTAACCCTCAGGGGGGTTGGTCATACCACAATCTCTTCCCCTCTAGTCTCCTCTCAGTTCTGGGCATGTGCACACAAGTACCCAGCATTGAGTCTCAAGTCACCAGGTCCAAGACTTAAACCGTAGTCGGCCATGTGGAAATATTCCTTAACCACTACCCCACCTACTGACCCCTATTTTCTAAATATTTTTAAAAATAAAAGTGAATGTTTAATTTTTTTGAAAGCCTTTTGATCACATATGACATTAATCTTTTTTCCTCCCTCTTTAAAACCTTTTTTTTGTAAGAGAGAATTTTGTTACAGGGCATGTGCATTTGCCAGAGAGACAGAAAGCAAGAACAACTCCCAGGGGGGATGGCCATGCCACAGTCCCTCCTCCTCCAGTCTCCTCTTGGGATTTTGGGCATGTATGCATGCACACACACCACATATGAATTTTAAGCTGCCAGATCCAGGACTCGAATTACAGTCAACTTTGTGGGAGTCCAGCAACATAACCATTACACCATCTGCTGGTCCTTCTTTAAAACCTTTCAAGATCGTGTATTTTGTTAATATGTTCCCAGTGGTGAAATATCATTGCCCTTCTTGAATAAATTTCACTTGGTTGTGATAAGTTATTCCTTCATAGTACTGCTGATTTACACTCACATATTTTACTTAACGTTTCATTTGTTATTTCTAAGTGAGTCTTCATTGTAATTAATTA